AGTCGACTCAGGCCAGACCAAAGCCATTTGAGCGAGTAAATAGCCTATCAATATCCTTCCTCCCTTGCTGGTTTGCTGTTAACTCTCATTACACAGACCACACATTACCAAACACACATGCAGATGACCAGACCTCCTGTGGACATCAAAACAACCCACATACAACATCTACTTAATATCTTAGGTCATAGTAAGATTTAATGTGATGGCACTGCGCTATCGCCTAGAAATATCATTAACCATTGACTATTAAACATATTTTAATGGACTGACCTGATTTTAATGCTGCCAATGTTTTTTTCAGAGATGTTTTTATAAAGATGTTACTTTTTTTTTTTTTAGATGTTTTTACAAAAACTGTAATTAGCAAGTTAAATTATTTTAAAATGTGTGTGAAAAAATATTAATGTAAGACATTTTTTGTGTAATGTCTTCTGACTATTAAGCATGTTTTAATGGACTGTCCTGATTTTAATGCTAGGCTTTAAAATTTGTTTTTAAAAATGTTACTATCAAATTTATTTAGAAACAAACTTGAAAACTATAAAATGTGAAACATTATGTTGTTTTTAATGTTAAGTTGTTATATAGAAGAGCATAAAATAGCATTTGATGCTGATTAAGGCACTAAAATAATTAAAAATAAATAAAATAAATGTAATTATTACGCAAAAAAAGAAATAACAGGCTTTTCTATAGCATTTGAAAACAATGTAACAGATCACTAACAGAAACAGATCTGTAAAAGTACTCAGATTAATATTTTTAAAAAAGAAGAAGAAGAAGAAGAAGAAAAATATGAGATACTTTGTAACTTTAAGGAACATGTGGAAACTAACCTCAACACATTATTATGAGTGACCTACCTTTTGTGGTCTGTACATCTTCAAGTTACAACTTTATAGCATTCCTTCAAGAATGGAACTTATTTGGTTTCTTCCTATTGAAAAGAGGCTCGCCCTGTTCACTTTTCCATTCTTTTCTGTGCCCTGATTCAAATGACGAAACATGTGATAACTTTGTCTTTGCCCCCCCTGAGGCTTCAGTGCACATATCGTGCATTCCATTCATGAATTTATGGTTTCACCTCTGTTTTTCCAACAATCAGAGAGATATATATATATATATATATATATGTTAAAATTCTCTATTTACACTGAATGAAGCATTGGTGCTTGAAGGAAAACTTGTTTTTATGGTTTTGTGCTGAAGGTGTATGATCATTTAAAATGAATTGGAAACTGCTTGTAGATGTTTTAGACAGGTTGTAATTTGAATTCCTCATTAATGGAAATTGATTCAGCTATTTTGTGTCACAGCATCAGAATCATCATCTCAGATGCTGCTGTAAATGTTGCAGACGTTATAATTTAAATGGCTCATTAATGGAGAATGAGTCATCTTTTTACTAACACATCATTAAAACCATTCATTGTAATTTAGATTTAACTCAACACTGACCTATTCGGCATGAGATCAATGTCAGTAGGACTGCACAAGATCAAGAATATTATCCAGGATGAGTACGTCTGACTCTCTCAAATAGAATAAACACGTTCATTAAATTTCAAACTTAATTTGTGTTCTTTCCGTAGGTCATCCTGTGAGGTTTATGAATGCCATGAACAGCAGTGAATATTGCACTTGCTCTGTGTTGCGCCGGCTGTCCGGTTGACCTGCCCTCAGTGATTCAAGGATGAAGACAAGGAGCGTCATTGTTCCAGTGGAAACAAGACAGACAGGTATGACTCACACACATGGATGTTATTGGCACGGACACAGGACAGCCCTACCAAAATATTAAACATCATATTCATTTTCCATTAAAGTTTTCATTTTTACAAGAGGCACACACACTTAATTAATTTTGCTGTGTAGAATAAACAGTTGACCCAAAAGGTATTTGGACATTTAAATCTGACAAAATGTCTGAATGTTGTTGCATAGACACAAAATATCAAACCAAGTGGAATTTTACAATTTATTTTAGCCAAAAGGTGATTTTTAGTGGATGAATGAAGTCGGCGAAAACTTATAATTAAAGTCTGGGGTCAGTAAAAACACAGTGAAAACAGTAATATTGTGAATTATTATTACAATTTAAAATACTGTTTTCTATTTTAACATATTAATCAATTTAATTTATTCCTGTGATGTCAAAGCTGAATTTTCAGCATCATTACTCCAGTCTTCAGTGTCACATGATCTTTCAGAAATCATTCTAATATGCTGATTTGGTGCTTAAGAAACATTTTCTTTTATTATTATCAGTGTTGAAAACAGCTGTGCTGATTGTTTTTTTTGTATAAACTGTGATGCATTCTTTTTAGGATTGTTCAAAAGAATACTTAATTTGAAAGAATTTGAAAGAATTTTTAGTAACACTAAAAAGTCTTTACTGTTACTTTTGATCAATTTAATGCGTCCTCCCTAAATGCAATGTTATTATTTTTTTTTAATTCTTACTGAACCCAAACTAATATGTAATTCATCATATTAACTTTTCACAACTATTTCTAATACATTTGATCTTACCAATATATCTATTGTTTTATCATTTAAATCCAAACAAGCTTATTTTTTATTAAATGTTTGAAGAGAGTGCTTGTTCTTTCATTTTAAATGTTGTCTTGGTGTCCAACTTTTTTGGGGTCAGTGTATCACTGTAGCCAAAGTTGTTCAGAATAACATCATATGTGACATATTATATTGTCATTTTGTGCCATGAAATTATATTGCCATGAGAGGACTCATAGATGAGGTGTTGTCCTCATTTTGAAGGCTTCCGTATTAAGTGGATGAAGACAAGGAGCGTCATTGTTCCAGTGGAAACAAGACAGACAGGTATGACTCACACACATGGATGTTATTGGCACGGACACAGGACAGCCCTACCAAAATATTAAACATCATATTCATTTTCCATTAAAGTTTTCATTTTTACAAGAGGCACACACACTTAATTAATTTTGCTGTGTAGAATAAACAGTTGACCCAAAAGGTATTTGGACATTTAAATCTGACAAAATGTCTGAATGTTGTTGCATAGACACAAAATATCAAACCAAGTGGAATTTTACAATTTATTTTAGCCAAAAGGTGATTTTTAGTGGATGAATGAAGTCGGCGAAAACTTATAATTAAAGTCTGGGGTCAGTAAAAACACAGTGAAAACAGTAATATTGTGAATTATTATTACAATTTAAAATACTGTTTTCTATTTTAACATATTAATCAATTTAATTTATTCCTGTGATGTCAAAGCTGAATTTTCAGCATCATTACTCCAGTCTTCAGTGTCACATGATCTTTCAGAAATCATTCTAATATGCTGATTTGGTGCTTAAGAAACATTTTCTTTTATTATTATCAGTGTTGAAAACAGCTGTGCTGATTGTTTTTTTTGTATAAACTGTGATGCATTCTTTTTAGGATTGTTCAAAAGAATACTTAATTTGAAAGAATTTGAAAGAATTTTTAGTAACACTAAAAAGTCTTTACTGTTACTTTTGATCAATTTAATGCGTCCTCCCTAAATGCAATGTTATTATTTTTTTTTAATTCTTACTGAACCCAAACTAATATGTAATTCATCATATTAACTTTTCACAACTATTTCTAATACATTTGATCTTACCAATATATCTATTGTTTTATCATTTAAATCCAAACAAGCTTATTTTTTATTAAATGTTTGAAGAGAGTGCTTGTTCTTTCATTTTAAATGTTGTCTTGGTGTCCAACTTTTTTGGGGTCAGTGTATCACTGTAGCCAAAGTTGTTCAGAATAACATCATATGTGACATATTATATTGTCATTTTGTGCCATGAAATTATATTGCCATGAGAGGACTCATAGATGAGGTGTTGTCCTCATTTTGAAGGCTTCCGTATTAAGTAACTTCTGTATTAAGTTTCTGGTTTAATGTTTTATGTACTTTTGTGAACATGATTCTGTTTTTTATGAGATTTTATACTTTTTCAAAAACTTTTTCTATACTTTAACTTACTGGTTTCATCTGCAGTTACACATGGAGGTTAACATAAAAAGGGTAAACCTGTTACAGTTACAGATAACAGATGTAGATAATAGAAAATAGCTGGATATAAATTACATCATAGGCTAAATAAATGTCACAGCTTGTAGCTTCTTGTCCAAAACATGTCTCAACATGTTCGAGCATGTCCTTATATATCCCTGCATGTCTGTGGTTCAAGTCCCACTGAATTAAACAGCACTACCTCATCCTAATTTTTTAAGCCACTGTCTGACAGGGTAGGTTTGCACAGGCTGGGACATTACACATGGTTTACCAGCGACTGTGTTTTTCTTTAGGGTTCCTTAGTCTTTTAACTAGGCGGGTTTATTTATATTCTCTCTTATATGAGGCCTAACATGAGGGAATAAGTGGAGTATTATTCCCCAGTTGTTCTACTTCAGCTTTACGACAGTAGTTGCTCCCCTGATGCCTTTTGAATAGCGAGGGCCAAAAATCAAAAGGAAACTTGACCCGTCTCTCTCTGACACTGCAATGAAATATCACCTTCACTCAAAGGGGTAGTTCACTTAAATGTAAATTCTGCCATTATATATATATATATATATATATATATATATATATATATTTCTTAAACGAAATGTTCTTAAAACATCATAAACATCAAAACAGCATTACGTTTTTTTTATTCCATTGGCAAGTATCTCTCTCTCTCTCTCAAAATAAATAAATAAATAAAACTATTGGTCATAATATTACATTTTAAATAATAACGCTAGTCGTAAAATACTATATATTTATTTATTAATTCATTTATTCAATTTTTGAATTTATTTAATTCATAAAAATACATATTGTCAGAAAACAGGCAATAATATTTTTAAGGATGCTTTTTTTTTAACTCAAAATTGCAAAAATGTATTAAATAAAAACTTAATAAAAAGTGAAAAAAAAAAATCCATATTCTCATACACTCCTAAAGTTTGTGCGGAAGAGAATTTCTAAATAGCACAATGGCACAAAAAAGGCTCAAGAGCACAGAAACCAGTCCAATAACTATGCTACCATCGTAAAAAAAGTGATGTTGTGCTCTTTAAATTGAATAAACCTGAACCGAAAGAACGAACCAGTTGCAGTGACAACATTAAAATGAAATATTTATGTCTATTTAAACTATTTGAACTTATATGCAGAAAGCAATTAACAAAATTGTAAATTACAGCCTATATTAGTCTACTAATCAGTAGTAATCATTTTTAACATCACATCACTAGATCTGTTAGCTTACATCACAATACCAGCTCCTTGAAGTTTACAAAAACAATGACATGGATATGGCATTATGAAAGGAAATAGGATTCTATCTCCAGGGGAAGCATGGGTGGGTTAACAAAACAGCCTTTATCTGTTACCTTTAGTGTCACACTAAAAGAGGGGCCATTGTGCTTTAGAAAGGATCCTTATGGTTCATGTCCTGGAACTGCAATGGATCCGTTTCCTCAGATTAAGAGTCAGCAGCACACATTCAGACCACAACACTGCTACACTTGCAGTTTCACCATTGACCGCTTTCACCTCTTCTGTCTCACGATAAATGCTCCATTGATATAAAAAACCCTTACCATTTGAAATTATTTGCCAAAATACCAACTCGGAGGGAAAATAAATATATATGCTTGAATATTAACAAATTAAGTTGTCAGAATATGACCACATCAGCTTCAAAATGTAAAAGAGGTCTAGAACACAAGAAGATAGGTTTTGTGCTTTTTTTAATCACATGGAAATACATGCCTCCATCCCTGAAATAGAGTTTTACAATTAACATGGAGACAGAAAAATGGTTTTAGAAAGCACAGGTCTCACTTTTTTTGTACAATGTTTTTAGGCACTTGGAATTACAACAGCAAACATTCCTTTCTTTTTTAACAACGAAAATAAAATATCTTTGGCCCTTAAAAAAAAACAAGACGCAAAACAGAGTTTGATTGAAACCACAGTCTGGTAAAAAAAAAAAAAAAACATATAGCTTCACAACGCAGAATGCAGCCTTCTTTCCCCACTTACATAACCTGCGAGAGTTTAACTGAACCTATAATGAGTTTAGAAAAAAAAATAATAATTTTTTCCTGCTACATGTGAAAAAGATCTTCATCCACTCTGCAGAACAGAATACGTAAGGATCGGCTCAAATCAGACATACAGCAGTGAACAGTCATTCTATATATGTCACATTTAGCATAAAAACAATTGCCATTGTTTGGAAAATTTCCTCCTAAACGTCCATTTTTGTGTTTGGGGAAAAATCTGTTTATATATTCACTTGCTTGCATATCGTCTTCGCCACATGGGAAGGTACGAAGGCTGATTTTTATCAAAGGTCCTCAAGGTCAGTTGCAGGGCAGCCACGTTGGGTAGGAACGACTGCAGGTGTGCACCAGCGGCTGCACGTGAGCGATGTAGTAGTTATTGAAGTTGATGTCTCGCACATAGGGTGCCGGCTGGTAATAGCATGTGACGTTGGGAACCATGGGGATGGCGTTCTGTTCAGCCAGCACCCTCAGTGCGAGCATAGAGATAAGATTTAATGTCTGCCGTCGTTCGTGTCGCATCAAGCACACTGTACTCTCATTGACCACGTGGTATAACGTGACCAGACAGTCGTACCGTTTGTGCTCCATTCCGGCAAAGTGATTCTGCAGGTACGCCTCCAGCTTTCGCTGCTGTTCCCCTATGTCCGGAAAGTCAATGAAGAACCGAGAGCACATGTATCGCTGGAGCGATTTCATCTCTGTTTCTGAGGTTGGCCGAAACCCTCGAACCAAAAGGTGGCAGTATTTTAAAAGCCCGCCTCCTCGGATCTCCTCTGGGTTTCTCGTTGCAATGACCTTGTTGCAAAGATGGCCGAGCGCTTCCTCGAAGTTCCCGTACATGCTCTCGCCCAACACCGTCGGGTGAAAGCACTCCGACATGGGAGTCTCTGAACAGCGGTCAAACAGAAGAAGGGAGTCCAAGGCTATCTGGAAGGAGTCCACGCTGAACTCAAACTGGCGCCTGAGAGAGTCCACAAACTTAAGCTCAACATTCTTGCCGGTGTTGTTGGAGAGCGAGATGAGGCTCCAGCGGTCGTTGTCGTTGCAAACCTTCACCAACTTCTGTACGTAAGCCTCCTTCAGAGTAAGTGCTGAGATTCTCTCCTTGCTGACACCCTCGGGTAGGAAGTCCAGCAGGCTGTCGAGAACCACATCCTTAACCACGCGGAAGGCCTGGTCATCTGACAGAGAAACGCCAAAAATCAGGTCCAAGTCCTTGTATCCGAGCCCCGTGTCCTGGTGCAGAACGTGACTGGCAGCCGAGCCGTTCAGCCTCACATCTCGAACAGTGATGCCTCGCTCCTCCAAACGCGCTCGAACCACCTGCAGAAATAGTTTAAGATCAGAGATTAGAGTTTTTTTATTTTTTTTTATTTTATTGGTCAGTATTGGACATATTTTTACATTTAGATGACACTGGTGTTCATCTAACTCTCACTTAAAGTGAATTTGTAAAACACTAATATTTAATAAAACTGTTACATTATTTTTAGAAAATTAATAAAAATCTCATTTATTCATAAAAAAAATTATAAATGATCAATTAACAAATGATTTTAATTTATTTAGACAAAACCAGTTAGCAGTTATCCAATAAACTAATTTTCAGCTTATGGTATTAATCATAAATTAAATATCAGTAACATACAACCACTGCTTGAACAAGTAAACAATGGCAAACATAATACCACACTAAACACTACCTTATCTGGACAATTTGAGGATACTTTGTTCTGCCACCACTGCAATTAGATAATGACATTATCTAAAAAGCCTGGCAGCCGAGCCGTTCAGCCTCACATCTCGAACAGTGATTCCTCGCTCCTCCAAACGTGCTCGAACCACCTGCAGAAATAGTTTAAGATCAGAGATTAGAGTTTTTTTATTTTTTTTTATTTTATTGGTCAGTATTGGACATATTTTTACATTTAGATGACACTGGTGTTCATCTAACTCTCACTTAAAGTGAATTTGTAAAACACTAATATTTAATAAAACTGTTACATTATTTTTAGAAAATTAATAAAAATCTCATTTATTCATAAAAAAAATTATAAATGATCAATTAACAAATGATTTTAATTTATTTAGACAAAACCAGTTAGCAGTTATCCGCCATAAAATTAATATAATTTTTTTTACTTAATTAATCATAATTTAAATATGGGTGTATCCCTAATCAGTAACATACAACCACTGCTTGAACAAGTAAACAATGGCAAACATAATACCACACTAAACACTACCTTATCTGGACAATTTGAGGATACTTTGTTCTGCCACCACTGCAATTAGATAATGACATTATCTAAAAAGCCTAATAAGACACGTCATTTTATTAAGCTAGGCATCAGTGTTGTGACTCAAAAACTGCTAAAATCACAGATTTCTTGCATTTATTCTCCCCTCACACTGTGAACACCTGAGAATCACAGTTGGTTTATAGTCAGTGATCAACAACACAAAAATTCACCGCAGTTATTAGCCATTTTAACGTTTTCTCTCTTTGTTGCTGTGATTCTAGCTGTTGTGAGGTAGAATAATGTCTCCAACTAAACCACACCTGAGAGAATTTGGACATGCCACATACACACATTTAACATCATTTACTGTAATTGGTCTTTTTTTTTTATTGTTAATCTTCTGTGCTGAATGCCTTTATTTGCAAATTGGAAGTCATTTTGTATGCACTTCAAATAAAAAAAAGTTAACTATTAGGTTTACAATCTTCATTTTACTTAGATTTTTCATTACCAAGCATCTCTATTATGTTCCCAGTAAATCTTTTCATGCATAAACTTGAGCTGAAGCTAATCGTAAAGATCAGTATTAATCTATTTATAAGGAATGTGCACTGTAGAGATTGACACATCTGTGCATCGACAGTGATACATTCACAGAGACTCACTTGGGAACATGCAGCACTGTACAGCTGCACAACATTCTAGAAGGCCGAACCTTATTCAGAACTGTTCTCGTATGAATATAGATAGAGGCAGTTGCAAGATTTCACATTCACATGAAGGTCTCATAAATCTCAAATGGTAAATCAGGAACACATTCATAAATGCCTAATTCAATAAAGACAAAAATATGGAATTTGGCACAGTCCACATTTTATGCATGCCAAGCAGTTTTGTATGCCATTTATATTGTTTTACGACCATTCAGATATTCAAATGTGCTTAAATCAAACTCATTATCTCCGTCCTGAATGCACGTAACCTTCATTTTCCACAGCTCTGTCAGATTAGTGTCAATCAGATCACCTACCCTCACTCCTGTCAATCAAATCATTAGCCTTCTATTTTTACACATTAGGTCAGACTGCAGCAATTGACCAAGTGAACGCAGTGGAACTATGCACAACGTGTGTCTGTACACATGCTGAGAACACGTTATACAGTTTTACAGGTTTGCAGCATATGAATCAAGGTGAAATTGCAATTTGGCCGAGTGCAATTTATTCAAGCATAAAGGGTGTGATTTATTTAAACAAAAAGTGTATTTACTTTATTTAATAATAGACTATTTTCTGTATTAACATCAATCGATGGTGTTTCAAAAAATATTGCCAATGACAAACAAGCTCAAAGGTTGTTCAGTTTCCACCAAAGGCTTGAGGGTTAAACCGGATCGCCTTGCAACACATGTGAATATTATATTAAGATGATGCCAAGTCAGGTATACGCAGTTGCATTCAAAACCTACATTTTATGGTTAAACTGTACATCACAGCACAAGGTGCAAATGTGCAATCATAACACTGTTATGATGATAATGAAAACAGCCACAAAGTCCATGCAATGAGATGGTGCCGTGGTAAATCATTTAGGTTAAGGAAAACGAGCGGCCATCTTTTGTCAATTTTGCAATGTCATGTGGAGGCTGTGTAATAAAACATCAAAGTTGGTTTTTACAGGTTTTCCATTAAATATAATGGGCTTCTTAGCTGGGTTTTATTGACAGGGCATTACTATCTGTTCAAACCCAGGCAGATGTTGTATTATGAAACAGAGACTGACCACTCATTACGGTCCACTCCATGTATATCAGAACTGGATCAAAGGAAGGGAAACTGTCAGATTCCACAGTTCATACTTTCTATCTCCATATAATTAGAACCAATAGGTGCCAATCTTAGGCCAATTTTTAGGATCTAAGGCATGTCACTGTATAAAGCACTCACAGTATATGAGAACACTGAAATAAAAGATACCAGATGTAGACATGATGGATGGACAAATTCCCTCAAACTGCTGCCATATGGGATCATATGCATATGTACAAAAAATGCTAAATCTTGAACACATGTTCTGTCCAACTGCAAGAGCATTCTACCTAAAACACTTGAAACAAATCCTCTCGTTGGGTGAAGCCCTACTAAAGGAAGTGATCTGGAGAAAATATCAATATCTGCTTGCATGTGTAGATGCAAGCCCACACTGCTTGTGCATAAGAACAAGAATTCTTTTCATTGAGAAGGGGGGCATTGACAGAGGTTATCACTGGACTAGCTCAAGCAGTGTTACGTTGCATGGGATTAGGGTCAGTAATGAGTCACACTCAGTGCAGTTTTCGTTAGAACATCCAAGTCATTAACAACTCTCTTAAATTTGCCAAGTGCACAGTTTTCTGTATCTGCTGGAGGGCCAAAGGCTAAGAATGTTTTGCTTATCCTTGGGGGGTTGAGACATTACACCAATAGCTGGTTGTGCAGTGACAGTTATTCCTTATAATTAACTAGTATCTATTTTTGCCTTACCAAAGACTTTTTATCTCATTAGAACTTTTTTCACTTGTAGCATCTTTTACAATTTAACTAATGCTTTTTCATTAGATACTAATATGTATTCCTTTGCTAACTATGGCAATAGTGACTAATATCTATTCCACTGCACATTTTTGCAGTTGAATTTGGTAAGCAACTGTGATTCTGGTATTAAATATTCACTTCTGACTAGTATGTATTTCAGGTTTTTCTCTTAACTCTTCATTAGGTTCTAGTTCCTATAGTCCCCATAGGTATTAGTATCTATTCCAGCTTTACTATGCGTGAAACACTAATATCAGTTACGATTATTACTAGTTATAATTGCTTTTTACTTTACAATTCAAATTTAAATATTACAAGTACACAGTAAACTGAAATACTAGTACCAGTATACTGAAATACACGATAGTGTTTGATAAATGGGTATGTATATTCATTTAGTACTGGCACAACTGTAATAGATACTAGCTACTATTTTAATAGTTACAAGAAACTACGAATTAAATACTCCTGGCAACTCAATAGTTAGTAGAAAAAAATGGATTAAGTACCGGTTACGACCTGAATACATAGCCTGAAGCGAATAGCTGACATTGACTTGTTACATAGTATAGTGAAGCAAGGGTCCTAGTAACTAATTGAATAGACATTCACTACTGGAATATTAAGCACTACTGAAAAATAACTAGTGAAATGAAGATAAGAAATGCTGCTTGAATTATTTACTAGTAGTTAAAAAAAGAAGTAAAAGTAACATAATATGATAGTATCGAGGAATGCATTTTAAAATAATCTAGCCATATTATGAAATAAAGGAAATAAAGGTCAAATATTATACGGACCCATAAAAGGAAAGTTTATAATTAAATGCTGTAGTGCAGAAAGTGTATTCAGATATGTGCTTTCATAATAACCTGAACAATTTGTCGCGGCTGAACCGAAAGCGTCGGGAAGTTTCCACGTCCGTGAACTGGGACCGTCTCGCCAAGAATAGAGTCCAAACGTTGCACCTGCTCCCAAGATAACACGCAAAACCGCCGACACTGCTCTGACACATCACCGGAGGACATGGCGATGGAAAGAACAACCAGCTTAATATGGCAAAAACTTCTGGTCTACTCCCGCACAGATAACGCTGCCTTTCCAAACAGATGAAGTTCCTACGCAAAGTCGTTTGTAAAAAGCTCAGTTATTTCACAGCTGCACTCGATATCAGCTATATAGCTTATAGATCGACACGGTTTGTGAGGTCATCCAGCTGCGCTCGTGATTCACTATTCCCAATCCACACACGACCAAGAAAACCGTTAAGTATTACAGTAATGCTAGATACGCACCATCTGAATGGTCTTTATAGGCAAGAGATTTGCATACGCGCGTATTATTGGTCGAATATCTGTTCATGAATAATTTCACGGCACTCTTTAATTGGATTGGCAGAGGCGTGCAGCTGTAACACACCCACCCTGCTTGTGACCTGTTATCAAAGCGGCACTAAAATACAATGTAATTGTAAATGTCTCACTTTTGAAGAGCGGAACCAGAAACAAAACAACAACATAAGCATAAACACACTTTTTTTACTATGAAGTAGGCTAAGTAAGTAAGTTTTTTTTAAACTTATGGTCTTGTATTTCCCATACATGCCAATACATAGCCTACATGCATGTATGTATGTATGCAAACAGTATTTTGTATCTTACATGTGTGTACACACACACAAGATGCAAAATACTATATATCTGTAATACTCAAGATACAAAATACTACTCACTTTTGGATTATTTACTAGTAATATAATACTAGTTATATATATATATATATATATATATATATATATATATATATATATTGTATATG